AGCTGCATGTTTAAGGCACTGCAATAAGACGAATGGATGCAGAAAAGTTAAAATCCTGGGGAAAAGATCAAATCCAGCACACCAGAAAGATAAGACCTCAGGGTAAAGATCAAAGCAAGAGTGTTGTGGGGAGGCCCTACGTTAAGGCTTCTGAAAGGGTTAAGAAGGAGTAGAAGCTCTCAGCTGGGCACAAAAACTGCCAGCCTCAGAGCACTGTCCTAGCAAAACCTTACCTAGCACAGGAGTAGCAACTCCGTCTAGGACGGCCTCTGTCTCGTGGTTGTAGGTTTGTATCTAAGAGGCCAGTCACTCCATCTCTTTGGTTCATGTGTCTTGAGAGCAAGAGGGGCTGCATCCAAGTAAACCCATCTGCACCTGGAGATGATTTAGGAGACCTCGTCTTTTAATTTAAGCCTGATCCTGATGCTGGAATGAGAGGAGGCTTTGGCATCGTGGAAGAGAAGTGAATATTTGGAAACCAGATATTGGAGGCTGGTTACAAGTCTCCAAACCAAGTCCCACTGAAGCACATCTTGTACGCATGCCCTTGTGCAGCCCCCCTCCTCCTTGAATTTGGGCTGTCTCCCTGACCCTAGTGGTCACGTGATGCTCTGCGCCTCCATGCCTGAGTCTCAGGTGGGTGTGGAAGATTTGCTGTTGTGATTTCGCAATCCCTGAGCCACCATGTAAGAAGTCCAGCTTCCCTGCTGACAACAGTGAGACCTTGAGACTCAGGAAGAGGCTCTGAGACCATGTGGGAATCCCAGATGTCTGGACATCCCAGCAGAGATCAGCCTTCTAAGGATCCCTGACAAGCTGCCAGAAATATGACTAAACCATTTTATATGTTCCAGTCCAGTCAAGCTCTGTCAGATAGCTGTGGCTTTTCAGCCAATATCACGTTGAGGAAAAACTGCTAGTTGAGCCCAACTGACTCACACAATCATGACAGATAATAAGATCATTGTTTTAATAGAATACGGAGTGTTAGGATAGATTGTAACATAGCAGTGAAAGAGCAATACTTACTTACGTTGACTATAATCACAACCAGATTACATCACATTAACTGCAGCACCACCGTATCTGTTCGTAAGTAGCTTTGCAGATGCTGTTCCCTCTGTGAACTACTTTCTTCTTTGGGCAGGAAAAGCCTACTTATCAGTAGTGTGTTGAAGGCTAACCTGGCTTCCCCTGGAGAGAAGGGACTTCCCTCTGTGCCTCCGTCATTCTCCAGGTCACCAGGTAGATAGGTAGGTAGGCAAATAGACAGACAGGTGACATAGTGGATGGATAGTCGATCTCATGAGATCGCAGTGATCTGCATATAGGTCTGCATGCTCACTCTTTCTTAAAGTCTTGGTATCCCCACTGCGTAACCCCGAACGGGCACTCAACACCTTTTGTTGACTGAATGAATAAACTTTGTTTTCGGACTTGTTTAGAACTTTTATGTGGATTTTGTAAAGAAGAAACATGAAAGCTACATTGTACAATCACTCACTATCAAATACATGTTGCAAGTGTATTAACTATCCCATCCATCCAACTTTTATATTTCATTATTGAAATCAGTTAGTTTTAAACATCCCTTTTAGTTGTTTTTGGAAGGAAATTCTGGAATGTGAGAACCATAAATTTTCTTAACGTCTTCTAAAGCCAAAGTGCTGACTGCTGATCTGTTCTCCTCTTCCTGTGCCCTGGCCAGCCACAATTTATTGCTTAAGAGATAACAAAGTTAAGCCTTATAACATTGAAATATTTCAGTAACAAATTGCAAGAAATAACAAAAAGGAGACACTAAACATCATCTGCTAGCCTCTGGTTCCTCTGCATTTGCAAAAATAAAAATCCGACATTCGGGGCGCCTGGCTGCCTCAGTCGGTAGAGCATGTGACTCTTGACCTTGGGGTCAGGAGTTTGAGTCCCACGTTGCACATAGAGATTACTGAATTTTTAAAAAATCTAACATTTTCCATCTAAGCAGGGTCGTCATTTAAAAACAAACAAAAACAGGGGCGCCTGATTGGCTCAGTTGGTAGAACATGCAGTTCTTGATCTAGGGTCATGAGTTCAAGCCCCATGTTGGGCATGGAGCCTCCTAAAAACAATAAATACAGTGGAAAAATCATCATCCCCTTAAATAAATATGCTTAAATAGTTATATACTAATTATGCAGATTGTAGTTCTATCTCAGTAAAATGTCATCAGCATATTGGGTCCTTCTATATTTATTGGATCCCCAGAAAAGAAGACTTTTATTCCCCAAGGAGGATTCAAAATATAAGTCAGGCAAAAACACTGATGCGTTGACTCACAGGACCTCAGGATATATGAGCATTGGAAGGGAAGTTGGAAGTTTTCTAGATTAAATTCACAGCACCGTTTGGTGCTTCCTATTACATCCCTGTTACACGGACACCCAGCTGTGTTTGAACAGGTTCAGGAATGAGGACCTTCAAAGTCCTACAAAACTATCATTCTGATTTCTGGCTAAAAAATGAAGCTGTCTACAAAGATAGGAATAATTGGCCTTTGAAAAAGAGTATCTTACCTTACGGTTTTCAGGCACAAATACATCAGGAAATAAATTATGTGAAGTTCATGTAAATTCATGTAATTTTTTTTTTAATTATTCAAAGTTCATAATGGCTATAACAAGAGGGTCAGTATTAATGCAACACCAGGAGTGGAATTTTCCTGGTATTTGGAAAAGTTCAAGAGACCATTCAAGCAGTGAAATGATTGATAACTTAGTAAATTCTTTGTTGATAAGTCAGCTGAAAAGCACACCACGAAAGCTGATCTAAAGGTGGAAAATAACAGAAGTGAATGTTACGGCAAAGATAAAAACTCACCATGCCGTTCGGTTACAAAGACAATGGATGTGGACTTCAAACTGTTGCATAAAGATACTCAGGGGCTTTTAGGGATAGAGAAAGGATTTCAGAGTGTTAAAACAAATGCCTTAAGCATGTTCTCATCTGAAAACCTGAAAAGAGATGAAATCTTTACAGGTGTTTTTTCACTTAGCAAAAAAAAAAAAAAAAAAAAAAATCCAAAACCTTATACATCTCTGTCCCCACCGTAAAATACACTTTTCTTAGCTCAGAGGCAGGGAGATACCATGTACTCAGGGAATATTTGCTGAAACAAAGAGTAGAAATGGGAATTTCCCTGAGTATAGGTAAAATGACGATGATATAATAAATAATTGAACTGAACTAAAGAAGTTGACCATAGTGATCATTTTACGTTTTTGGAAGTGATGGTCTTTGTTGGAATATTCTACATACAGTATATCAGTGTCCCTACGAAGGCAAATTGGGGGACAGATTTGGAATTAAGACTATGCTGTCACAGACTTTTTTTATCCCAGTTTAATGCTACCAAACCGTAATACCTCTTCGGTTTTCAAATATTATTGGAGACGCTGAAAAATCATACTGCGTTCTTCAAAGTGCTTATGTAAGACTTATATAAGTTATCATGTTATAAATTCATTTCTTGGACTCTTAGTTATTTCCTGTTATTTTAGTTTTCGGACAAGATGAAATCCAATCACTTAAAAAGCAATTTACAACTAGGCTACTGCACAAACCCCACATTCCAAAATTACTTTTCTTCTTGGCTCCTGTGGAAAGCTATGTCAAGTTCATTCTCTCATGTATGTCCAGAAGTATGGTCGGGATGTTAGGATTGTTTTTGACCACTCTGTAGAAGCTCCTGGTGTTAGCTGGGGTTGGGTGCCATTTAGAACACACTGTTTGTACACTAAGTAGAAGAAGAGAGCACTTAACCCTCACCCAAGACAGAAAAGAACACAGCTAATTCACAGTCTACGGATACCTAGAATCATATCAGATGTCTTTGAAGTGTCTCTATAAGTTCTGGTGGTGACAGATGGGAATATCAAAAGTATTCAGAGGAGAGTGAAGCTGCATATAGATCAGTTCAATGTATCACGTGGTGTCACTGCTTGGTTTGAGCATCCTGCACTTGATTTGCATACTTCATGAATATGCAACTTGAACATAGGCTATTGACTTCTTTTAAAGCATTTGAATATGTAACTAGTGGCAAAATTAGAGGGTTCAAGATAGCAAAGAGGGTTTGAAAAAATTCATCCTGGATGATGGCACCCCATCCTCCATTTCATGCCTCACTTTTGGGAGCATCATTTGCTTGTGTTGTTAAATCAGGGCAAGATATACCTACAAGAAGTTGAGTTTTCCATTTGAAGTTTTGATTTCCAGCCCGCAAACGAGAAACTGTCCAAATGCCCATGAATAGAAAAATACATTCTCTTACATTCATGGATCTATGCCATGCATAATTGTAGTGAACACCTTAAAGCGTGCGTAACATGGATGAATCTAATCAGTCTGATAATAAGCACAGAAGAATGTAAAGACCTGCCTTTTATGTGTCAATTAGACAGCAGGAATCATCTGACCCAATAAATTCTGAAGATGGGCTTATGTGGGTAAAATGAGAGTGGTGACCTTGAGTTGTGGGTGAGGTATTGGACGTGGAACGGACATGGGTGTGGGGGAGAGAGGCAAGCAAGGTGCAGTGATCTCTCCAGCACTGTGATCATTGTGAATCTCTCGGCCAGCCGCACCTGCGCGTCCCTCTCACCACAGAGACCGGTCCACCAGCATGAAGCACAGGGAGCCCCATGTCTTCTGTGTGTTCCCCGGGAGCCTAAGAGCATCATAGGCAGTCCCCTCAGAAGGAAGCTATGACATCAATACAGAGGATTTGGATGAAAATGTAGTCCTAAGGGTCACCTGTTTAACCTGCTGTGTCTATCACAGACTTGTCTACCGTGCCAGGACCTCTTAGAAATCTGTACAGGGGTATGTCATCGATCCATAGCTGTTTGCAGGTTCAGTGTTTCAGATCGTCTCAACTCACCATGGCAAAACTGTTCCCTGACTATTATGTATAGTGCCAGGCCAATGACTTTGCTTCTTGTTTTGCATTTTCTTCCTAGGATGTATACATGTGTGGAATATGACCACTGATGGTGAGCAAAGAGATGATCTGCAAACCCACCCTTTTTCGGGTAAGGAAACTTACATACAGAGAGCCTGCATCAGCAATCCCGAAACGCAGGGTTGTTTATCGAGGAAGGCAGCTCACAGTACGGCGTCACAATACGCCAGAGGTGTATTAATGCCCTTATGTTTTGTTTTGTTTTTTTCCGATATAAAGCTGCAGGCTTAATGGGCCTGTTTTGTTAATCACATCCAAATTAGACTCTGTAAAGATTTTCATTAAGTTCAAGTTGCACCCAGCTTGCAGTAATATTTTTCAGTGTCAAAAGCTATACAAAATTTAAATTTAAAAACATCAGAATTCTAACCTGCTTAAAACACAAAAATTTTTTAATGATTTTTAAATGTTGTCTTGGAGTTATGTTTTCTGTGTTAGAAATTATTTTCTTCATAAGGTGTTTTAGTCTGCTTTCTCATTTAACACTTTATCAGCATTTTCCATAATCCCAAATGTGCTTCAGAAATATAAATTGTTAAGTTAATGGTTGTCTTTTGATCAAAATACCAAAACCTTGTCTACTAATCTCTTTGGTGGGCACTTCACAGTTTTTACTGCTATGTGTATTTCCCAGCACATAACTTCAGATTGGTTAAAACAGTTTCCCTTTGGTGAAGATTTGAGAAGGAGGTTATTGGGATTAATATTTTGAGAATGAAAACATCATGATAAAGACACAAGAACTGGTAGGTCAGGAGAGGCCTTTGGGCGAATTCCATCTCATACCTGTATAGTCGTAGGACCTCAGCAAGTACCGAGACTTTGGAACTTCAGTTTTCTTTTTTAATATTTTATTTATTTATTTGCGAGAGAGAGACTGAGAGAGAGAGAGAGCACATGAGAGGGGGGAGGGTCAGAGGGAGAAGCAGGCTCCCTGCCGAGCAGGGAGCCCGATGCGGGACTCGATCCCGGGACTCCAGGATCATGACCTGAGCCGAAGGCAGTCGCTTAACCAACTGAGACACCCAGGCGCCCGGAACTTCAGTTTTCTTGTTAGGAAACGAGTGTAGACACACACATCTTTTTTTTTTTTTTTTTTTTTAATTTTATTATGTTATGTTAGTCACCATACAATACATCATTGGTTTTTGATATGGTGATCCACGATCCATTGTTTTCGTATAACACCCAGTGCTCCATGCAGTATGTGCCCTCCTCAATACCCATCACCGGGCTAACCAGTCCCCCCCCCCCCCCCTCCCCTCTAAAACCCTGTTTGTTTCTCAGGTCCATAGTCTCTTATGGTTCATCTCTCCCTCCAATTCCCCTCACCCCCATTTTTCCCTTCCTTCTCCTAGAGTCCTCCATGCTATTCCTTATGTTCCACAAATAACTGAAACCATATGATAATTGACTTTCTCTGCTTGACTTATTTCACTTAGCATAATCTCCTCCAGTTCCATCCATGTTGATGGGAAAGTTGGGTATTCATCCTTTCTGATGGCTGAGTAATATTCCACTGTATATATGGACCACATCTTCTTTATCCATGCATCTGTCAATGGACATCTTGGCTCTTTCCACATTTTGGCTATTGCAGACATTGCTGCTATGAACATTGGGGTGCATATGGCTAGACACACATATCTAATAGGAATGTTGTTAAGATTGTTTACAAATAAAATATTCCATCCAGTGGTAAGATACGGCAAGTGCTCAATTAATGATGTTTAATATTTTCTTCATGGGTCTTGAAATCTCCTTCTCCAGAGTTTTATGGTATTTTCCTTTCCCACCGTCTGCCTGGGGTACATCTCTTTTTAGCATATGTGGTTTATGTATTGGGCCTACGTTTATACCTTAACTTTGCTCTGATTTTCTAATTTTCTCTGGTTTTGTCCTTCTTAAATGAATCAAGTAGTTATTATGTTACAGAACAAAGTAATGGGTAAAGAGACTATCCATCCTATGAATTGATTAAAGCACCGGACAATATTGTAATGAATGTTTATCACACTTAAATGGCCCACGAGAATCCCCAGCTGATATACCATTTCTCTAAACATGTGAACATAGGATATTGGATCCTAGGCAATGAGAACCGCCGTCCCCCCCGCCAAAAAAGGCATTGAAAGCCCAGAGCATCTGAGGAGAGATTTCGGGATTCTCCCCTTGCATTTGAAGAGAGCTGGAGAGACCATAATGCTGGGGGGCATTGTAGTGACTGCATTCTGAGGTTTTGAAATCAACCGTGGCTGTTTGAAGAGCCGTGGCCCAGGTTTGTGAACCCGTCTCAGGAGTTAAAGAACAGTAGATGATGCTGATGTAGTACATGGGGCTATATGCTCTTTGAACTTAGAGCCACCATTCCTGGTGATTTTTTAAATGCCTTTTTTAGGGCAGATTTAGGTTTATAACAAAATGGGGAGGGAGGTACAGAGCTCTCTCGTATGGTTTCTGCTCCCTCATATGTGGACGGCCTTCCCAGTTACCAACATCTTTTACCAGAACGGCACATGTTTTACTAAAGATGTACCTACATTGTCCCAACATCTGATGACGTGTATCCACCATGATAACGTCACACAGAGTAGATTCACTGCCCTGGAAAGCCTCTGTCCTCTGTCTGTCCATCTCCTCCACGTCCTAACCTCATGCTTTTGAAAAAACAAATTTTTTTCATTAAAAGTCCCACATGATAATGAAAAAGAGAGAAAGAGCAGAATCGGAAAATCATCCGTGCTCATCATGCTCCTCATGGTCATCATCCATGCCCTTGACACTGGGGTACCACTTTTTCCTCTCTTTTATATGCATAGCTCTGAACACATGGGCTCATGTTTTTACATGGTGTTCTCACGGCCATGCCTGCTTCTCAGAGCAGTCTCAGAATGGCTTCCACATTAGCCGCCAGTGACTCAAATAATGTCTGTGTGCAGAAAATATAACGGTAAGCATTGTAATTAGTTTTCTTTGTGGTTGTTACTCTTGATTAATTTTCTTGTGGGAATGTAAGGAAAAATATGTTTATATATTTAGAGATGCATCCAGAGTGCAGGGACACACATAAATAGGTACTGATTTTACTTTTAAAAGTGTAATTTGTAATCCTTTTCATGGTCCACTGAAACTGTTTTGTATTTTAATATATCAAATGCAATGTGCCCTTTTCACGGAGTCATTCTGTTCTGAAAACATACAGACTTTAGTACTTTGTAGTAATATAAAGCAGAAAACTCAAGTCAGCAATCAAATGAATAATTACATATCCTCCATTCTCCTTAAATGTATAAAAGTACACAACTGTTTATGGTGTTAACTTGCAGTAAGAAAAAAAATATTCTGCCTCAAGATGCTCATGAAAACAGTAATTTTTCTTTTTTTGGCAATGCCTTTTGGGTGGATACATACTTCTGTCATCCTTTAAAAGAATTAAATACAAATTGGAAACTAAGTGAAGGGAAATAAAATGCCACAGAAACTGCAAAGGAAGATTTATAACTTGAATATTATGAACAATGTTGCCAAACCTTATGATCTCTATATCCATCACTCTTTCTTTGCACAGTGCGTAACGGTGGATCCCAGACAGCTAAGATTAATAGAATTAAGATTGGTAAATTTCCAAAGAATCAACTCTGGAAAACCTCAGATAAGATCATTTGACCAGGATGCATTACCGTTAGATCTTTAGAGCTATTCGGATGTTTGAAAATCCAGATAATCTGAAACTATGCCAATGATGAGAGAGAGAGGGAAAGTCACCCAATGAAATCAGCAACATATACTGGAGCTTCTATAGAACGCAGCAGTATAAAGGTAATTTTACATGGAGAACAGTGTTCTAAAATCCAGAAAATAATAAAGTCTTTGAAGGAGATACAGACTAAAATTGGGGGAAAAAAATTGGGTTGAACCATGTTTTTACAAGGTCTTCTGTTTGGAAATCAACTTCACTGATTTGCAGTGCTTGTTGAACTGTATTGATTAAAGAGAATGGCCGATTGATTGGAAAACGAGTTCAAAACGGATTCAGTTTCATGAGTTTTTAACCGAATGAGATATTTTTAAACCATTATAATACAGTTCAGTTTTAACAACATTAATTTGTATGCCTCATTTCAGCTTTACTGTTAGATCCAAGCTTACAATTTGTAAATAGGCCCAATAGGCTATTACGTGATAACGAGTCAATTGTAAAGATAGATTTTAGAGATGGATTTAGTAATATCTATGACGTTTATGGAGCATGGGGCATGTTAAAGGCAAGACATTGAATGTTGGGGCCAGCCTTCGGCTGGAAGACGGAAGAAGGGATAGGTCAATACTAGTGTTCTAGGTATGATGGTTCACGGCCAGCAAATCTTTATGTTCGTTGGACAAGATATCATGTGGGTACGGTCTCAGTAGCTTTGTTGCTCAAAGTCATTTTTTTTCCCCCTCTGTCCTGTTGCACAGTAAGGCCAACAAGAGACTTGTTTGTAAAAATGCTAGTGTAGGTTCTAACTCCGTGGGGACAGGGTAGGAAGCTTGTGGGAAATGCCTCTCTGTTTTTTAGGGCTCATTTTTTCAAGTTGATTTAATGTGCATCCAGAGCTGAAACTGCTGGCTTGAGTCATGAGTAGGATGAGAGTCCATCCTTGTTTCTCTCTCTTTCGTTTCTCTTCAATGAGCAAGAGCGGTTTGAGCTATAAGGTTGAAATAAACTTTGCAGCACGTTTTAGAAATATCCTTGCGCATTGCAGCGTAGTGTCCGAATGCACTCACAGATGAGCATTTTCCCTGAGGAGCGACCCACGTTATAGTCTGGAGAAGATGTTTCCGGCTCCCCCACTTTAAATTAATAAAAGGGTCTGTGGAATTGCAGAAGGCCCAGGATTGGCTTGAACTCAGCATGTCAACTGGTTGGTTTTTGTTTCTTATGAAATTTTGGTGATATTAAGAAGCCATCCTTCTTTGTAACAGCCCAGGAATGTATAAATACTCAGAAGCCGAAAACAGTTTAATAATATGTCTGAACACAAATACGGAAAAGGGGCATCTTGTCTCTGTTGCCTTCAGCTAGTTCTC